TCTTTTATACCAACCTGAGAATTGACAAGTGTACCAAAAGTTTTAGCATGCATCAAAAGATGCATATTAATATGTATATTTGGTAAGTTAACAAAACTTGCAAAAACCTATTAAAAAATAAAATATTGTTAATTAATGAATTATTCCATGTTATGAATTTCAAATTTATAATTATACCTTTGGAAGAATTAAAAACTCTTCTTTAAGACATAGCTGTAATTCCTCATAGCTATCTAACGTAAATTCCTTATTAAAAACTGCTTTCATAGTCTTTGCAACATGTACCCAACAAGATATAATAGCTTTTAGCACTAAGCTAATTCAAACTACATCAATCCTTTGTCGAATAGTGGCTGCTTCATTATTTTTGAGGCTTGAGGCTTGATTCCTTTAAAAATCGATTTAATAAAAATGGCATAATCATAGCTAGTCTAAGAAGATCAGACATCATAAAACTATTGTAATGACTAATTGGATTTGGTAGACGAGACCACTTTTTTGGAATTTCAAAATTTTTCCAAATTTTAGCAAAATCATCCTCTCCTTCTTGTGAAAATAATTCACAGGTTAGTTTTAGCAACCGCCCAATCTTTCCTGCGGTGGCATAATAAATATCCTGTGGCGTCTGTAAATGTCTCTCACGTTTTAATTTATCCAAAATACTAGGTGATGATCTTAAGCCATATTCTGTACAAAGTTGTCCTCTTTTTGAAATTACAGATTCTTGAGAAATTTTTGAAATTTCTTCATCTGTGATATGATGATAACGTAATGTTGTCACACTATCCTGATTATAGGTACTCAATGATTCCTTTTTAGTTATACAAGTAAGGCAACCTTTATTTGCATTATGTATAAATTGATTTTTAAATTTAAATCATTTTAATAGTTATTACGAAAATATATTATTAAGATTAATAATTAAATTGAAAAATACCTCAGTACTCCTGCCATATCATTACCTTGAGGTAGATCTGCTGTAACAAGGCCCAACCCAGCAATAACCCATGCATCTTGTCTTTGAACAGTCATAATCTTTCCTTTCTCAAATTTTTTTATTTCTGAAACAAATGGTACCATAAACTCGTTAAAATTTCCACCAAAAGGAATAAATCCAAGAACAAAATGGTTCTTGATTAGCTTTCTCTGATGCGTTGGCATGTTACCAAACTGTATACTGTATATAGACGCCACCTAAGGAATGGTATACATTTCTAAATGTACCAAAATCATCATAGTAAAGATCTAAAAACAGCTTATAAACTGGCATAGACGACAGTGGATTTCTGACAGAAATGTAATCTGAAGGATGTTGGTATGAAAGCTTTGCATCACGAACGTGCCAAAGGTCATTACATTTATAAATTATTTCAGTAATTCGTAATGAACCTTCTGGAATAATTTGGTGTTTATACGTCATCATTATAGTTACTTTCTCTAAAATTTGAGAGGTAATTATGGTTATAAATGG